TGACCCCAGAGTGTGTTTTTGTTTCTTCACCTCTGTTTCACCTGTGACCTCTGACCTCTGTTCCAGGTGAACGTGAACCCTGAGGACCTGATCCCCAAACTGCCCCGACCCCACGACCTGCAGCCGTTTCCCACCACACAGAGCATGGTAACACTCTAACTCTAACTCTAACACAGAGCATGGTAACACTCTAACTCTAACACAGAGCATGGTAACACTCTAACTCTAACTCTAACACAGAGCATGGTAACACTCTAACTCTAACACAGAGCATGGTAACACTCTAACTTTAACTCTAACTCTAACACAGAGCATGGTAACTCTGAGCATGGTAACACTCTAACTCTAACACAGAGCATGGTAACACTCTAACTTTAACTCTAACTCTAACACAGAGCATGGTAACACTCTAACTCTAACACAGAGCATGGTAACACTCTAACTTTAACTCTAACTCTAACACAGAGCATGGTAACACTCTAACTTTAACTCTAACTCTAACACAGAGCATGGTAACACTCTAACTTTAACTCTAACTCTAACACAGAGCATGGTAACACTCTAACTTTAACTCTAACTCTAACACAGAGCATGGTAACACTCTAACTTTAACTCTAACTCTAACACAGAGCATGGTAACACTCTAACTTTAACTCTAACTCTAACACAGAGCATGGTAACACTCTAACTTAACTCTAACTCTAACACAGAGCATGGTAACACTCTAACTTTAACTCTAACTCTAACACAGAGCATGGTAACACTCTAACTTTAACTCTAACTCTAACACAGAGCATGGTAACACTCTAACTTTAACTCTAACTCTAACACAGAGCATGGTAACACTCTAACTTTAACTCTAACTCTAACACAGAGCATGGTAACACTCTAACTTTAACTCTAACTCTAACACAGAGCATGGTAACACTCTAAAGACTGAAGTATATTTCTGCGTCGCCTCTTCAAGCTCCACCGCCGTCATTTTTGATTTATGGATCTGTGTGGACGTCTGTGCACCGCCGAGTAAAACACCAGGGGGCGACGATGTCTGTCCATTCATATGAACGTGTGTGTGTGTGGGGGGGGTACATGTGGACTGTGTGTGTGTGTGTGTGTGGGTGGGGGGGGGGTGTACATGTGGACTGTGTGTGTGTGTGTGTGGGGGGGGGTACATGTGGACTGTGTGTGTGTGTGTGTGGGGGGGGTACAATGTGGACTGTGTGTGTGTGTGTGGGGGGGTACATGTGGATGTGTGTGTGTGTGTGGGGGGTACATGTGGACTGTGTGTGTGTGTGTGGGGGGGTACATGTGGACTCTGTGTGTGTGTGTGTGTGTGTGTGTGTGTGGGGGGGGGGTACATGTGGACTGTGTGTGTGTGTGTGGGGGGGGTACATGTGGACTCTGTGTGTGTGTGTGTGTGTGTGTGGGGGGGTACATGTGGACTGTGTGTGTGTGTGTGTGGGGGGGGGTACATGTGGACTCTGTGTGTGTGGGGGGGTACATGTGGACTGTGTGTGTGTGTGTGTGTGTGTCAGTAGGTTTTTTTCTTGTTCTGTAGTTTTTTTGTAGTTTTTTGTGGTTGTATTTAAATCTGGATTTATATTTTAAATGTTTAAGTTTAACACATTAAACATAATATTAAAATAATAATAAAACAATTTAAAAATAAAATATAAATGTTTAAATGTTTCAGGTTTATCGAGGTCACGAGGGTTTAGTCCGAACCATCAGCCCCTCCCCCTGCGGACAGTGGCTCCTGTCAGGTCAGAACCAGGACCAGGACCAGGACCAGGACCAGGACCAGGACTAGGACTGAACCTGAACCAGGACTAGACCAGGACTGAACCAGGACCAGGACCAGGACTGAACCAGGACTGGACCAGGACCAGGACCAGGACTGAACCAGGACTGGACCAGGACCAGGACCAGGACTGGACCAGGACTGAACCAGGACCAGGACTGAACCAGGACCAGGACCAGGACCAGGACCAGGACCAGGACTGAACCAGAACTGAACCCTGTGATAAGTTTACCTCTCACCTGTCGGTCCTGTCCCCCCTGTCACCCCTGTCTCACCCGTCGGTCCTGTCGGTCCTGCAGGGGGCGATGACGGCTCGGCTCGTTTCTGGGAGGTTTCTTCTGGACGCTGCGTGAAGAAAGTGGAAGTGGGCGGAGCCATAAAGAGCGCCGCCTGGAACCCGAGTCTCAACCTCAACCTGGTCGCCCTCGCCGTGTAAGAGACCGGGACCAAGACCGGGACCAAGACCGGGACCAAGACCGGGACCAGACCGGGACCAAGACCGGGACCAAGACCGGGACCAAGACCGGGACCAAGACCGACTCTGGACAGGAACTGGGACTATGACTGGTCTGGTGTCTGGTCTGGTCTCTGGTCTAACCCTGGTCTCGGTCTGGTTTTTCAGGGGTTCTGAGGTGCTTCTCGTGACTCCGCCCTCAACGGCGGCGGATAAACCGGTCGTCACGGCGACAGAGAGACTTTTATCTGAGGAGGCGGAGCCAGCCACAGAGGGGGAGGGGCCTGTCGCCTGGATGAACGCAGAGGGGGAGGAGCTTCTGCAGGGCATCCGGGTTAAAATCCAACACCCCAAAGTAAGAGACTGACCCAGGACTGACCCGGGACTGAACCGGATCTAGAGCAGGTCTTCACAGGACTGCTGTGTGTGTGTGTATAATGTGTGTGTGTATAATGTGTGTGTGTATAATGTGTGTATAATATGTGTGTGTAATGTGTGTGTATAATGTGTGTATAATGTGTGTGTGTGTGTGTGTAATGTGTGTGTATAATGTGTGTAATGTGTGTGTGTGTGTATAATGTGTGTATAATGTGTGTGTAATGTGTGTATAATGTGTGTGTAATGTGTGTGTGTATAATGTGTGTGTAATGTGTATAATGTGTGTGTGTGTGTGTGTGTATAATGTGTGTGTAATGTGTGTGTGTGTGTGTGTAATGTGTGTGTAATGTGTATGATGTGTGTAGTATGTGTGTGTAATGTGTGTGTGTGTGTGTATAATGTGTGTGTAATGTGTATAATGTGTGTAGTATGTGTGTGTATGTGTGTGTAATGTGTGTGTGTGTATAATGTGTATGATGTGTATGTAGTATGTGTGTGTAATGTGTGTGTGTGTATAATGTGTGTGTAATGTGTATAATGTGTGTAGTATGTGTGTGTAATGTGTATAATGTGTGTAGTATGTGTGTGTAATGTGTGTGTGTGTGTGTATAATGTGTGTGTATAATGTGTATAATGTGTATAATGTGTGTGTAATGTGTAATGTGTGTGTGTATAATGTGTGTGTAATGTGTATAATGTGTATAATGTGTGTAGTATGTGTGTGTATGTGTGTGTATGTGTGTGTAATGTGTGTGTGTGTATAATGTGTGTGTAATGTGTATAATGTGTGTGTAGTATGTGTGTGTGTATGTGTGTGTATGTGTGTGTAATGTGTGTGTGTGTATAATGTGTGTGTAATGTGTATAATGTGTATAATGTGTGTAGTATGTGTGTGTGTGTATGTGTGTGTGTGTAATGTGTATAATGTGTGTGTAATGTGTGTGTTGTTCAGCCTGTGTGTCAGGTGACGTGGCACACTCGTGGCGACTACATCGCGGCCGTGATGCCGGATCACAACAGTCACCTGCAGGTGCTGATCCACCAGGTGAGCAGGAGGCGGAGCCAGAGCCCCTTCAGCAGAAACAGGGGATTGGTTCAGAGCGTCGCCTTCCATCCAATCAGACCGTACTTCCTGTTGGCGACGCAGAGAAGCGTCCGGATCTACAACCTCCTCAAACAAGAACTGAGCAAGAAACTCCAGACCAACGCCAAGTGGATCTCCAACATCGCCGTGCACCCCGGAGGTACGCTGCCGGGGACTGGGCACCGGGGACTGGGCACCGGGGACTGGGCACCGGGGACTGGGCACCGGGGACGGGACTGGGCACCGGGGACGGGACTGGGCACCGGGGACGGGACTGGGCACCGGGCACCGGGGACCGGGGACCAATTTGTTTGTTAATCTTGTGTGTGTGTGTTGTGTATGTGTGTGTGTATTGTGTGTGTGTATGTGTGTGTGTGTTTGTGTGTATGTGTATGTGTGTGTGTGTTCAGGTGATCATGTGATCTGCAGCAGTTACGACTGCAGATTGAGCTGGTTCGACCTCGACCTGAGCTCCAAACCCTACAAGACTCTCAGGTACATTCACACTATATACACACTATATACACTATACACACACACTATACACACTATTCACACTACACACACACTATATATACACATACTATATATGCACACACTATACACACACTATATACACACTATACACACACTATATACACTATACACACACACACTATACACACTATATACACACTATTCACACTACACACTATATACACACTATACACACTATACACACACACAGGAAACATAAATTGGCCAAAACTCAGTTTTACCTCCCTCTCTTCTTCTTCTTCTTCAGACATCATCGCAGGGCCGTTCGTTCTGTGGCGTTTTCTCGCTCGTATCCACTTTTTGCTTCTGCCTCAGACGACGGCTCCGTCATCGTGTGTCACGGGACGGTCTTCAGGTAAACGGACGGGACAGTCTGACCCCCCCCCCCCCCCCCCCCCCTGAAAGTCTGACCCCTGAAACGTTTGTGTGTAAAATGTGTTTTCTTTCATCTGTTCTAATGACCTCTTGTTTTTCTCTCGTCTGGTCCTGGTTCTGTTCGTCAGTGACCTGCTGCAGAACCCTCTGATTGTCCCGGTGAAGGTTCTGAAGGGTCATGTGATCACTCATGACCTCGGGGTCCTGGACGTGACCTTTCACCCCTCGCAGCCCTGGGTCTTCAGCTCCGGCGCCGACGGGACCATTCGGCTGTTCACCTGAGCCTCCTGCAGGATCCAGACCCGGTTTAAAGTCTGGATTTTTGTAAAGAACCAACCTGACAAAGATGGTGGGCTGCTGCCCCCTGGTGGACACTCAAATAAACATTTGTTTTTTCTAAATCTGTTTATATAAAATAAAACTGTCGACCTGAAGTCTGACACTTATAGTTGTAAATGAAAAAACCCAACTTTGATATTTACTTTATTTAACAAAGTTCTTCGGCTGATTCCCTTTTAAACCAATCAGCTCCGAGCGTCGCCATGGAGACAGACGTTTGACTGTCACCACGGAAACGTTAAATACTTTTCATAATAAACTCTTCAAAAATACCTTTAATATTTATACAGAAAAATTAAAACATGAAACCTTCAGGCGCTCAGAGCCGACCAATCACAGCGCATTGGTCACTTCACGTCCAATCAAAGGCCACACAGTAACTGTCAGCGGGACTAAACCAGGACTAACCCGGGTCTGTCCCTCCTCGGACTGTCAAGTGAAATTTGGAGTTTTATTCTGTTAAAATAATCGTACAAATGCATTTTTATAAACGTTTAAAACCTCTTGGACTCAAACTTCCTCCTCAGTTTTTCAGAATAAAGTCTCTTTCTGGAGTTTTCCACATTAAAAGTTCGACTGTGACGATTGGCTCTGAGCGACGAAACAAACCAAACTAAAACCGAGAAAAGAACAAAACGGCGTCGTCACGGGGGGCGGAGGGGTCAGAGGTCGGAGGGCAGCAGGGTGTCAGGGTCCTCCCCCAGAACGTCCTCCAGCGACGTGATTGGCTCCTGCAGCGACATGGGCGTGTACTGCACCAGCTGCTTCCCTGGAAACAAACGATTTAGGAACATTTTAAATCAAGCACACACGCACACACACACACACACACACACACACACACACACTGAAGAGTGACACGTGCAGTTCTGGCTCTGACCTGTGGAGGCGCCGCTCAGTCCCTCGTCTCTCGGCTCCGACAGCAGCTGCAGGAAGTGACATCACAGTGACATCAGCACCACAACATGTAAACACAAGTAAAGAATACTACAGTACTACAGTAAAGAGTAGTAGTAGTAGTACAGTATGAGTACTAAAGTAAAAGTACCGTGTCGAGACAGTCCAGGTCGAACTCTGCACCCGGAGAACTGAAAAACTGAAAGAGACAAAAAGTTAGAGACAAAAAACAGGACCAGACCAGGACCAGACCAGGACCAGATCAGGACCAGATCAGGACTTTGCCTGGTCACAGCTGCCCCCAAACGCCCTCTGACCTTTGACCCCACACGTGTGTAAAGATGTGTCCCAAACCTGCGCTCCAGAGTACTACAGTGTATGTAGTACTGTGTATACTGCAGTAATAGTAGTACCGGTACCTGAGGCAGGGGGCGTACCTCGAGGATGGGTACTGCAAGTAGTGTGTAGTAGTAGTAGTATTTGCAGTACCTCGAGGATGTGTACTGCAGTAGTGTGTAGTAGTAGTAGTAGTATTTGTAGTAGTAGTAGTAGTATTTGCAGTACCTCGAGGATGTGTACTGCAGTAGTGTGTAGTATTTGTAGTAGTATTTGCAGTACCTCGAGGATGGGTACTGCAGTAGTGTGTAGTAGTAGTAGTATTTGCAGTACCTCGAGGATGTGTACTGCAGTAGTGTGTAGTAGTAGTAGTAGTATTTGTAGTAGTAGTAGTAGTATTTGCAGTACCTCGAGGATGTGTACTGCAGTAGTGTGTAGTATTTGTAGTAGTATTTGCAGTACCTCGAGGATGGGTACTGCAGTAGTGTGTAGTATTTGTAGTAGTATTTGTAGTACCTCGAGGATGTGTACTGCAGTAGTGTGTAGTATTTGTAGTAGTATTTGCAGTACCTCGAGGATGGTACTGCAGTAGTGTGTAGTATTTGTAGTAGTATTTGTAGTACCTCGAGGATGTGTACTGCAGTAGTGTGTAGTTTTGTAGTAGTAGTATTTGCAGTACCTCGAGGATGGGTCCGGTGTCGAAGGTGAAGCTCTGCGTGTTCAGGAGATTCTGGAGATTTTCCAAACCCGAGTCGATGGAGTCCACATGGTCCAGGAGCTCAGACCTGAAACACCAAGACCGGGTCAAGACCGGGTCAAGACCGGGTTCAAGACCGGGTTCAAGACCGGGTTCAAGACCGGGTTCAAGACCAGTTCAAGACCGGGATCAAGACCGGGATCAAGACCGGGATCAAGACCGGGATCAAGACCGGGATCAGAGAGTCTGTGGAGTCCACATGGTCTGGTTCAGTCCTGGTTTAGAAACAGTTTAGACCAGACAAGTCCAAACTTCGGCCTGTGGGCCAAATGCGGCCCCCAGACACATTTTTTTGGCCCAAATGACTTTGTTAAGTTTTAAATATTAGTGTTTTCAGTTTTAAGGATCTTCGCCTGAAAAAAGGACTGAAGTCTCATTCGAACGAGTTAAACCTGCACATTTCAAATATTCACTGTCCTCAGCTTGTGGCTGTGATGAAAAAAGTTTGAACACTCCTGGTTTAGACCAAGTGGGGTCCCAGTCCAGTCCCAGTCCGGACCCCAGTCCGGTCCTGTACCTGTCGATCACGGCGACGGTTTGACATTTTTTCTGTGGTGATGCTGAGGGGGCGGGGCTTGCTGCAGCGCTGGCTGTTGATTGGCTGGAGGGCGACTGGACGATGGGCTCTGATTGGTCGTTGGGGGGAACTATCATCACGATGGGCGGGGCCACTGCAGGGGGAGGAGCCAGAGATCAATCAATCATCCTTCCCTGACCTCTGACCCTGTCTGACCTCTGACCCCTGACCCTCTCTCCTCTCTGACCCCTGACCCAGCGTCTCACCATTGGGCCGTGAGCTCTGATTGGCTGTGGTGTGGCTGGTGGGCGGAGCTTGCGTTGCCGCTGTGCTGTGATTGGCCGGTTCGTCCTGGAGGATGGAGTTGATGAAGGTGGTCGGGGACAGAGGCGTCTCCACCTGCGGCTCCTCTTTGACCTCCGACCCCTGACCCGTGACCCCAGGCGCCGGCTCCCTGACAAACACAGACACGGTGTGAACGCTGCGCCCGGACCGATATATCGACCGCAGATATCAGCCGATACAGGTGGGCTGGAGGGAGACTCACATTTACACAAATCATAACTGAAGGATTAAAAAACGAACTTTAAAAAAAAAACAACTTTAATAATACAGTTTTTACATCAGTAAATTAATCGACTTTTGTATCGACTCCAAAGCCTAAAACCAGGTCTAAAACCAGGTCTAAAACCAGGTCTAAAACCAGGTCTAAAACCAGGACTGAACCAGGACTAAACCAGGACTAAAACAGGACTAAACCAGGACTTAACCGAGTACCTGGGCTCGTTCCATTCACTGATGACATCATCAGAAGGGGGCGTGGCGACATCTGTGATATCAGAGATGATTGGTCCAGAGCTCACGGAGTCTGAGGGGAAGAGGCTGGCCTAAAGAGAGAGGGCGGGGTTTAGAGAGGAGGGGGCGGGGTGCTCACGGTGTTTGTGTGGTACCTGCAGGTGTTCTGTGTGTGTGTGTGTGTGTGGTACCTGCAGGTGTTCAGTGTGTGTGTGTGTGTGGTACCTGCAGGTGTTCAGTGTGTGTGGTTCCTGCAGGTGTTCAGTGTGTGTGGTACCTGCAGGTGTTCAGTGTGTGTGGGTGGTACCTGCAGCTGTTCGGTGGGTGGGTGTGGTACCTGCAGGTGTTCGGTGGGTGGTACCTGCAGGTGTTCAGTGTGTGTGTATGTGTGTGTGTGTACCTGCAGGTGTTCAGTGTGTGTGTGTGTGTGTGGTACCTGCAGGTGTTCAGTGTGTGTGTGTGTGTGTGTGTGGTACCTGCAGGTGTTCAGTGTGTGTGGGTGGTACCTGCAGGTGTTCAGTGTGTGTGTGGTACCTGCAGGTGTTCAGTGTGTGTGGGTGGTACCTGCAGGTGTTCAGTGTGTGTGGGTGGTACCTGCAGGTGTTCGGTGTGTGTGTGTGTGTGTGGTACCTGCAGGTGTTCAGTGTGTGTGTGTGTGTGTGTGTGTGTGGTACCTGCAGGTGTTCGGTGTGGTGGTACCTGCAGGTGTTCGGTGTGGTGGTACCTGCAGGTGTTCGGTGTGGTGGTACCTGCAGGTGTTCGGTGTGTGTGGTACCTGCAGGTGTTCGGTGTGGGTGGTACCTGCAGGTGTTCAGTGTGGGGGTGTGTGGTACCTGCAGGTGTTCGGTGTGTGTGTGTGTGGTACCTGCAGGTGTTCAGTGTGTGTGTGTGTGTGTGTGGTACCTGCAGGTGTTCGGTGTGGGTGGTACCTGCAGGTGTTCAGTGTGGGTGGTACCTGCAGGTGTTCGGTGTGGGTGGTACCTGCAGGTGTTCCAGGCTCAGGGGGCGGCTGTATTTGGGCAGAGAGTGTCCAGAGCTCCCGTCATTCAACATCAGAGGCCTGAGACAGAGACCAAGTCAGAACCAGGTCTAAACCAGGTCTAAACCAGGACTAAACCAGGACTAAACCAGGACTAAACCAGGACTAAACCAGGACTAAACCAGGACTCACATCTTCCTTTTTAGGCCCATGATCCGATTGTTCTGAACCAGAGAAATCAGGAACTGGATCAGCTGCAAAACACAGACTCAGTCAGAACCAAAGTATTTAAAGAAATACTGCAGTATTTAAGTACTGCAGTTCTGAAATACTGCAGTATTTAAGTACTGCAGTTCTGAAATACTGCAGTATTTAAGTACTGCAGTTCTGAAATACTGCAGTAGTTTTACCTTATTGACGACTTTTTGCTGCTGGGAGTGTTTCTGTCGCAGACTCGCCACCTCCCTCCAGAGGGCACTGTTCTCCCTGTACACACACATATATATACACACATTATATATATATATATATATATATATATATATATATATATATATATATATATATATATATATATATATATATATATATATATATATATATATATATATATATATATATATATATGTATACACATATATACATATATGTGTGTGTGTGTGTATATATATATATATATATATATACATACATACATACACACACACACGCACAGGTGTTAGAGCAGTGTGCCGCTGTGGCCTCGGTGGTG